GTGTGTTTGTGTGTTTGTGTGTTTGTGTGTTTGTGTGTTTGTGTGTTTGTGTGTTTGTGTGTTTGTGTGTTTGTGTGTTTGTGTGTGTGCTTGCAGCCCACGTGACCCACTACCTGGACAAGACTTTCTACAACCTGACCACAGTGGCGCTGCACGACTGGGCCACCTACAGCGAGATGAGGAATCTGGCCACCCAGCGCTATGGCCTTGTCATGACGGAGGCTCACCTCCCCAGCCAGACCCTGGAACAGGTGGGAGGGGCGGAGTCCAGGATTTATCCCGGATCTTGTCCCGGGATGCTGGGATCTGGCCCCGGCCTCGCTCACTCTCTTTCTGTTTGCACTGTGTGACTGGCAGTTACCTGGGAGGGGGTGACACTATTGTATTAAGTGATTCCTTTTTGTGAGTTATTTGGAATATTTAGAAAATTAAAGTGAAATGTCATGTTTAAAGCAACATCAGATGCACCAGCAGCAGGTGTGCGTGTGTTTCAGGGCGCATGTTTCAGGTGTGTGTTTCAGGTGTGCGCGGGTTTCAGGAGTGACGGCTGTTTGTGTTTTAGGGGCTGGATGTGTTGGAGATCATGAGGAACATCCACGTCTTCGTCTCTCGCTACCTGTACAACCTCAACAACCAGGCAAGTTCCTTCTACCAGCTCTGGGGAATTGGGTGGACATCTTCAGTCCTGAAAGATGGAAAAGCTGATTTATCCCGTAAATTTTGCGCAGATCTTCGTTGAGAGGACAAGCAATAACAAGCACCTGAACACCATCAACATCCGGCACATTGCCAACTCTATCCGAACCCACGGCACAGGGATCATGAACACTACGGTAAGCTCATCCCGAGGGGGGGCGGTGGTGTAGCAGCAGAGTCAGGCGAACCACTCTTCCACGTGCCAGCTGGGGTCCGGGGGTCTAGGGTCTGGGATCCGGGTCAGCCCTGGTATGAATAGCTTGACAAACGCCAAGAAGAGACAAACACGCCCTCCATTCCTACAGGGCAGCAGCGATTGAAAGCACGGAGCGTGGCTCCTGAGAAAGTGGATGTTTCAGCATGATGGGGCTTTGCTGCACAGGGGGGAAGCTTCCTTCAGCTCCTGGTATAGTGGCAGCTGCTTGTGTGGTCTGGCCCAAAACTCCCATGACCTCAAGCACCCGGTGTCTCAACCCCTTCCCCAGGTGAACTTCACCTACCAGTTCCTGCGGAAGAAGTTCTACATCTTCAGCCAGTTCATGTACGATGAGCACATCAAGTCCAGGCTGATCAAGGACATTCGCTTCTTCAGAGAGACCAAGGACCAGACGGATCAGAAGGTAAGGGGACGGGCGGTGGAGCAGCAGACGCCGTCCTTGTGAAAGAAGCCCTGAGAGGTGGCTGGAGCTCACCTGCGGCCCAGTCTTGCCTGTCCCTGCTCACAGAATCGCAACAACAACTTGTTCTGCTGGAAAAGACAATACCTTTGATTTCTGTTGAGAAAGGAAACCAAATAAATTGTTTCTTGTGAAATGTGGTATAGCTTTTGTGCTATTCTGTAAATAAAACCAATGTTATAGGAACAGGTATGGTTTTATTCCCTGCTGAAAAGAAAATAGAGAGACACAACGTTTCAGTTGTGGAGTCTTCTTCAGGTGTGAGGGAGAGAGGCAAATTGTCAGATGATAAAGCTGAAAAATACTTGACAGCCAAAACATGGTCTCTTTTCTTTTCTTTCAGCAGGGAATAAACCTGTTACCTGTTCCTTTGCAGCCTACGCATGCTGATGCAGCTCCCTGCTTGAACTTTTTCATCCAGTGTTATAGTTGTGTTCGATTGGATTAGAAGACATTCCTAAACATTCAGGAAGTATAAATATGATGGATGAAAAGTGTCGTTGATACCGTTTGTGTCGTGGTTCTGGTATGGAGGAAACCGGGCTCCGGTCGTTGTGCTGACCCTGTGGTTCCTGTTGGCAGTACCCCTTTGAGCGAGCGGAGAAGTTTAACCGGGGCATCAGGAAGCTGGGAATCACCCCGGATGGGCAGAGTTACCTGGACCAGTTCAGACTGCTGATCAGCCAGATAGGTAAGGTGCTGATACAGGTGTGGCAGGGTGGTCTGCTGCTGGGAGTGGCGATCAGGTGCTGCGCTCTGGACACCAGGCTCTCATCCGCACCGGCACGCCGCTCAGGCTGTTAGTGTGTAGTAATAATAAACAATTATGTATGAGAGTCCTTTAAAAGTGGCATCTCGAGGGGCTTTACAGCAAAACATACACAATGAGGGGAGACCGCAGAAATGCACAGTTACAAGTAGAGTTTGGAATACTGTAGGGAAGAAAAGCCTGTGGAGTCTTCTTGGAAGAATAATGTTTTTACAATATATTGCACAAAATGTGGGTCGGACGTCAACCGTGGATCAAATATCACTCCCAGGTCCTTCAGCCATGCTGCAGGCACGAGACGGGTGGTGCGCGTGTCGCTGATCGCCGGGGCGCGCGTGCCTGCAGTGCGCGTGTCTCTCATCGCCGGGGCGC